TTCACATAGAAATGTGCAGAAATAATAAAAGGACAACTTTTTATTTATAATTTGTCTTAAAAATGATTTTGGAAAAATAAAAAATACTGAATCATATCGTGAAATCAGTATCATGAATTGTACTACATTGTGAGTGAATCGTTACATCTCTATTTCTGAAGGATTGTGTGATCATTTTAAAATATATTAAAATATGAAACAGAAATTGAAAAAAAACATCATGTACTAAGGCCGACAGAAAATGAAAATAACGATTTTCTAGGCCGATACGGCTAGGAACTATACTCTCATCCCGGTGTAATAATCAAGGAACTTTGCTGCCGTACCATGGGTGCAGCAGGCGCAATGATATTACGCAGCGCCTGAAAATAAACAGTTAACACCTTAAATACACAAGACATGACGAGGGGAAGACGAGAAACACCTGGGATCAATAAACATAATAGGAACAGGAAACAGGAAGGACCAAATATGAGCATGGAAATAACCTGGAGCACGTGGGGGAGCAAAACACACATGAAACACGGAACAGAGTCTGACACTATTTCATCAGATGAAAAAGATTTATATTAAAGTTTTTTTAGACTGAACAAATGACAGTAACAGTATATTAATTAACCATCCAAAAATACTGTAGTAAAAACGTAGCACTTTAAGAAATAGTGCATTTCTTAAGCACATTGTATACACTGGCCTATAAACTGCATATTTAAAACAACACTAAATCTAAGCTGGATAAACTACCTCACTATCTTACTACTACCCATAAACTACTCATGTTCGTCACACACCACATCCTTTATAACCTACAGTACACACACCCCATTATACACCAGTAAATAAACTACAGCCTACAAATGACACATTATCCAAACAATACAGCCTGAAGTATAAATTACACCCTACACACTTTTTAAAGAAGGCTCATGTCATACATTGCAATAATTACAGAGGCCTGTAGGGTTAAAATCATTACATGAGCCTATAAGTATAAAGACTTATTACAAACTACAAGTCAAATTGTTTTCTTAAAACTGTGTACTTTTCTATGTTAAAATACCTTTCCCAGCTTTATATGCAGACTATAAGTAATTTGTAGACTGATTTATCAAAAAAAGTGTAAACACTCTGACTTTATGCACATTATGCTGTTTATTTGAGCCCCCTGACTAACCTAAAACAGTATCCCTGAACTATTTGTTTAACTGGAAATGAGAAGCATTTTAGGGAAATTTGTTTGTATGCCAGCATTATTTAGAATTTAAACAGTGAAATTTGCTTGCATTCAGTCTGTTCTCCATTTCTCTGTCAGCTTCCTCCCCTCGTCCAGGTGTCTTCATCTCAATGGCGAGTACTGACAGGTCTGAGCCCAGCTGCAGTGATCTGAGTTACTCCGTGTGTTACTGCACCATGCTGCGAGTACAATGACATTCTCACACATGCCCTCACGTACACATGCACACAACTGCTTTAAACCACTTCTGCCCTCTGTTACTCACGTAGCAGCATCATCTCTAATCCTTCTCCCACTGAACCCATCACTCTAGCTCTCAAACACACACGGCACATAACTCCATTCTTCTAAGAGCACAAATGGGAGTTTTATTTATCACTCGAGGAGTCATCTATTATTGCTGAGTAACAATAGGATAGCATTTACTGCTAACAAAACATCGCTGTGCCTCTTCCTCCCGCCCTCCATCTCGGTCTCACCTTGTACACTTGTCCGTAGGTGCCGTTACCCACGACCTCCACCAGCTCGAAGATTCCTGCTGGGTCCTGGAAGAGAGAAACAATTTTTAGAATGGTAAAATCATTCAACCATGCTAATCCCACAAAATGAAGTTGATTTGGATTTACTCCACAATAGTTCTGTTTAATGCCAAAAAAAAAAAAAAACCTTTAAGAGGCTTAGACCAGAAACATTTGTTTAATATACAAATTAAAGGGTTAGTTCACCCAAAAATGAAAATTATCCCACAAATTACTCACCCTCAAGTCATCCTAGGTGTATATGACTTTCTTCTTTCAGACGAATCCAGTCGGAGTTATATTAAAACTTGTCTTTGATCTTTCAAGCTGTTTAATGCCAGTCAGTGGGTGTTGCATGCATCAGTCCAAAAGAAGTTAAACAAAAAGCACCCATCCATAAAAAAAAAGTATCTCACTCGGCACCGGGGGGTGAACAAAGGCCTCCTGTAGCGAATCGATGCGTTTTTGTAAGAAAAATATAGTGTTTTTATTTTTTGATCTCTCCCCTGAGCTTCCGCGTTCGTCACTTCTGAGGGGCACATGCACAAAGCCGACCTCATATGTCATCAGCCCTGAGCTGCTTCCATGTAGGACTGTTGGCGCAAGCTACATTAAAGTGATTATTACGTTTTGAATATGGATATTTTTCTTACAAAAACGCATCGATTCGCTACAGAAGGCCTTTGTTCAC